TTGTAGTGCATTCTCCCAATAAGCACTTCAGTCAAAAGAGCACTTAAAAAGTTGCGCTCTTTTGAGTTAAGTGTATTCTCCACTCATCAGCACAGACCCTCCCATTGCACTTAACCCGAAGGTGCCGCTGTGCAAGAAGTATAATTCATCAAGCAAGAAAAGGAGGTCACGCCTTCAATGGTTCTGGCAACAAGCAAAAAATGGAACATGGACTACAGTGGAGGTTCTCTAACTTAATCTGTTCCAGAAGGCAGTTTGAGAACTGATTTGGTTGAAGACTGAATCCATTTTTCCCATAAGAAATAATGTAAATGAGATAAAATTTTTTCAAGACCTATATAAATACATATATATTGCTTAAAACATAAATAAAAACTTTAAAACCCATAAATACAATGAAAATTAATTGCTTTGTCTGTACTTTGGAGAGCTAATGACACACTTATTTTTCTTTTTAAAGTATATCATGGTTCTCACAAATTTCCTTTTTGGTTTGCTGCTATCACACACCTTCTTAGCCTTCATGGTGGCTTATTTAAAAACAAAAGGAAAAAAAAACAATATTCGCAGCACAATTTGGTGGAGATGTTCACTATGTGAGCGTTAGCAGTAGACTGACATCCCTTACCAAAAAAAAGTATACTTAAAGTTAATTTTATTAAGTATACTTCTTGGGACTAAATTGGTCCACTTTTAGTTTATTGAAGTATATATTTTAAGTGTATTTATTTAGTTAGCACAGTGGCGATATGACTACATTTAGATTACACTAATAAAAATTTGCAAAACATACTTAGAGAGTTTTTTTTCTTAGTCACTCAAAATGAACAAATATTGTTTTGAATGCCAAAATTAAAGATAAAATACATGTTACATATAAGCTAGACTTTTCTCAATAAATATCAGTTTATGCCAGGTATACTTAAGTCAGACTTTGTTTAGTATATATCATTTAAGTACATAAGAAGTTTATTGAGAGTATACTAATTTTTAGTTTAGAAAACGTATACGTACAGTACACTTAAATATACTTCTTTTTCATAAGGGATATACACACATTCTTTCCTGTGTGTGGGTTAAATAGACTTACTGTATGCTTTCTCCGACACGTTTTAGCAAGAAAGGGTTGGTTTATTGAGAACCGAAAATACGTTTGACAACTGAGACATTTTTTTACCGAACAATATGGTTGAGAACTGAATTTTATGAGATAGGAGACCTTCCAGAATCCCCGGTTCAAACAGGTCAAATAACACAGAGATAGATAAAATATCTTTATATCTTTCAACTTAACTGAAAATAACCCACAAAAGACAATCAGTATAATACGACGTACAGTATGGTCATATCTTCGACGTTTTTGCAATTGTTTCACTATTCAACCGCTTAACTACAACAGAGGGAAAAATCAACATCTTAGACAATGTGTCTGTCGTCAGACTAATTCTGAGGATTGGAGAAAATTAATATGCGTTTCTACGGTGGCTGCAATGTATGATCATAAACTAATTGCTATAGTCACTGCCGCTAAAACAGCACATGTACATCACTAATTGTGGAATGCTTACTAATTAGTCAGTCAACTTGTCAATTCATCGCAATCTGGTATAAAATAGTGCCTGTGGAATGGGGGAAAGACGCAGATCATGATGAGTGTTAGTGGGTGTGTTTTGTTCTGGCAGCAGACAAAACCAGACGAGACTGTTGTTGGAGCGAACCAGTTTAATCCGGAAAAAAAACACGAACTTATTTCACCTCCGTAAAACGTAAAAAGGATCTGAACACGGCATTGTCGTAGCAATGCCCGACATAACAGGGTGCAAACTCAGTTTCACTGAGGAGGAGCTGGACACTTTAGTGTTGGGGTTGATGGCACACTATCAAGGTCTAACTGGTTCTGGACCACCGAGGGCAGACCCAGGCAGAAGACGGAAAATATGAGAGGAAATGGTGGGGAGGTGCAGATGGAGCGTGTCAATCTAAAACACAAGTGGCGAGATTTGTATATTTCTGCACAAGGCGAGCTCTCCAGAAGCGGCAGAGACACCTTAACCGTGGGTGGCTGTCCGCTTTCCTCACCAGTACATATGACTCTCCTGGAGCAGGAAGTGACGGCTACTCTCCACGACTGATGGCCTTAGGGACTTACATAATTAGGAGGAGTTGACACCAATGAAGGTAACGCCCAATACAATGTCCATTCAAGTAGCTTTGTGGGTCTTTATACAATGATATACAGAATAATGAAGGACACATGCATCAGTTGTCATTAAGTATTAGTTGGCATTAATTGGCAGGTCTGAAGCTGCAACTAAACATGCACAAGGCTAACAAACGGTAATTGCACTGGGGTGACTTCGCCATTCTCAGCAGTGGCAGGGTCATTGGGCAGATCAACACGGCCCCCACTGCCACACAACGGCAGTCTTCCATCTGCAGAGCCAGAGAAAGCATTCGACCTGCCTCGGGACACTGCGAGATCTGGGGAAGGCAGTGCAACGGCAGCAGAATTTGATGATACTGGCAGTGTGACACACTGAAGACCCAGCAGCAGGGGTCATCTACTGGAACAATCTGGTTGCCTGGATGGACAAAGCGCTTCTGACTTTAAGAAGTACCGACAACGAATGGGGATGACTGCTGTGGCTGGACAGTCATTCAGCCAGGAGTTGGCACAGAAACATGACAGTTTCATGGTGCGTGTGAAACAGCGTGTTGCATTCTGTGTCCATTAGCTGCAGTAGCTCACGACAAGCACGGGTTATTTTTGGTCATCTTTGTCTCTGTAGTCTTCTCCATCTGTCCTGTTCTCACTGAAGAGCAATGGCATGCAATGCAGGCATTATAGTTTATGATTTTGAAGGCACAATACTTTATCTAGATTGATACAAGAATTGTTTAATTGATCAGTCATTCAATCTGCTTTTTTCTCTTAATTGAATTATTGCTACATTTGGCTTTCTAAAACCTGCAATATTGCATTTGGCCGTGTGGAGGCACTTGACTTAATAAAGCTTAGCGAAAAATACATTGAAGGGCCCTTAAGTCCGTGGCAGAATGCGCTTAAGGGCCACGCACATGTGGCCTGCCCACATTTTGGAGCTTCTCCACCCAAAGTGAACAAATCGCTTAAGTGCACTTAAACCCTACACTTAATGATGGGAGGGTATTGGGTGCATGCATGGAAACCATAGTAATACCAGTTAATTAAACCCCTTTTTATGTACTGGGAACAATGTGAATTGCGGCTCTTATTAGTTTTTCCACAGCAGATAATGGTAAAACAGACTGCAGTGTGGTAACTGGCAAGGTTTCCATGACATTTATCCAGCAGCGTTGTGTTGAGCCTGGAGTCTGCCCCAGAAACCACAGGCCCAGAACAGCCACTCACAAACAGTCACAAACTCTGAGCAATGTGGACGCCAATTACTGAATTCAAAATTAAAATATTATCACTTTAAAAATAAAATGCTCCTCTTTTCAAGTGCAACATTATCATTCAAAATTATGGGACTGTAATTTACTGTTCAGTATAACTTGGTGACCACTATTTAAATCTTGTATGAAATTAGAGAATGGAAGCCTCACAATATCTAGATCATATTTCAAGATAAAAGAATAAACTATAATAAGATCATAGAAATATGATATTTTATTGACACAATATTTCTTTTTCATAACACTAATAATTAAGGGAGTGTGCCCACGTATTTGTGTTGTGACAACCAGTTCATAGTTAAATAAAACACAGTTTGAATCATTATTGCATTTGTACATTTATGTTTATTCAGAGGCCATGGCTCTTGCATATTACAACTGTAGGCTTTAATAAGGCAAAAGCAAAAAAATAAAAAAGAAAAAAGAATTTAAAAAACCACCAGTTAATTCACATTAAAACTATGCTTTTGGTGAGGACAGGAACTCAGGGCATGCAGCTACAAGTCAGACTGCAATATACAGCATCTTATTTACAGAAAGACAGTGGGAGTAATGCTGTTGGACATATTTACCACCAATTTACAAAATAAACATGTAAATAAATAAAGCCAACCAACAGATAATACAAACAGAAGTTAATTTCTAGAAATGGCTAATTAACTCAGATAAAAAGGAATATCAGGTTCCTTTTTGTTATGCTGTCTTCATATAGATTTTGAAAAAGTGCTATTTAACTAAAATATAAATTTCAAAGTTTTAAATTTATTTAAAAAATAAAAATAAATGAAACATTCCAACAACACACAATGTGGCTATGAGGATATTGCATTACTATAATACCAACTCGTATTGTTCTTTCATGGTATCTTGTTGATGGACAGTGATGTGATTATGTGACCTGAACTGCGACAATGAACTGAAATTCTCAAGAGTTACAACAACGGTGGCGCGCAACAGATGGGAAACACAGAAATCGTAACAGCACTGAACTTAAATACAGAGGATCCTTTTATTTTTAAGCTGTTGGCATCCACTTAAAAATGGACAAGACAATTAAAGGGATCCACACACTCATCTTCACAACATGTACCATCAATGTATGTAAAGAACGTTAAAGAAGCGCCATATAGGTTTGCATTTAACAGGGACACACCTAGTATTAAGTATTCCTAATTATCTCACTCAACATCGTCAAACAAATGGTACTCCATATTGCTTAGGAACACATAGAAACCAGTTTATAAATCAATGTCAGAGATCAGTGCTAGCATGATTGAAACACAGCTAAAATGTTAATTGTGTTTTTATTTCATTTACAGTATTATTATTATTTATTATTATTAGAACATTATTATTTTATGGTTATTAATAATAATCTATGTATTCTTATCTTCATTATTTTAATTATTACTGTATAGTTATTTTCCTTCATGGGAGTTTACAGCGGACATTTTCCTAGGATGGCTAACTGAATATCAGAGTTGGTACATGCATTAGTTCTTCAGGCTCGGAGGAGAGCGCAGGTGCCCTAGTCATCATCCTCATCTTCCTCATCGCTGTCTTTCATGGAGATGCCCTGCATGCCTCCCTCGCGCACAGATGCCGACGCCTCCTCCATCGTGAGGCGATTCCGCACCGTTTCATACGCCTTGCTGTTGAGAGTCGAGTCGAGCACTCCTTGCAGACGGAAATCCCTGTACGTTTTCTGGGAATTAAAAAAAAAGTTAAACACTGAATGTGTCATTTCCATGCAGGGAGACTAGGCTATTTATCCTTAACAACTGGATTATCCCCAATATAACATAAACAGTGATGATATAAAAATGCCTTCTATAAATGTTGTGGGGTACAGGCCTATGTATCAGTAATGTTGACAGTAAGTGACATATAAATGCACTTTGATTTGTGATTACCCATGTGCGCAATGTAGATTTCCCAAGTTTTAACTCCTTAAGTCAGAGAAGAACAGATATACACATGACACAAAATGTCACACTCATTTTTCCACTAGTGCAAAATTAATTACTGTGGAACAACAACGTCATGATGTTTTAATTAGGTCAACTACATCCTACTTCCATGTAAGAAATCCAAAGTGGTTTCTTTTTTTTTGTGGCACATTCACGTTACCTTGGCAATCCTGATAAGAATTTTAAGCTGATAGACATGGAGCTGAAGGTCCATACGGTCAGTGAGCCAGGTTCCCAGGAGGTTCATGGTGCCCGTGTACCATTGCTGAAACACAGACAGACAGCGTTCTCCAGCAACACACACAGACACGTACACTGAGAGATGGAATACGGACACAGACAAGCAGCAGGACAAATGGGGAACAACGGGATTGGTCTTATGGTCTCATTTATCTGGATATGCATTAAGTAAAGCTGGAAAGAAATTAAATCGAAATTGAAAGATGGGAAGTTACCAGGGTTATTGTGTTGGAAAACACAACTAATTTACGCCTTGTCTTTAATCCAATTAAAACTGGATGGGAGAAGTCTCATTATGACAATGAATACAGTCTCTGATTAAGGGTATTTGTTGAGCTTATGGTCAATAAAGTAACGGTGCTCTTCTCAAAAGTGTTTCATAGCTCAAACGGTGGCTGTGACTGAGCTCTTTCACCCAACCGACGAATCCAGGGAGGCTTGGATGATCTCTCCTTAAGTTTCCCTGCAGTTTTTTAAAGACTGGAGTCTGCCATTGGCGTTACCCAGCGAACACCATTCCGCTTGGCATCCACAGAGATGGATCACCTGATCAAATATACGGAAGAAAGTTGGTGACCTTATAATTATTCCTATAGGCCGGCCGGTTAGTATACTTAGTACTGTAAGCATAGTTTTAGTCCTTCAAGGGTACAGTCCTGAAGAGGTGTTTTCATAGCAACTCAGCGTTCAGATTCTGTGAAGGATATATTATTAAAAGTAAGTTAACTAATAAACAAACAAACAAACAAACAAAAATTCTAAAGTTCTAAAGGTATGAGGCAGCAGTGCCACCAACTATAACACCATGATATAATAAAAATAAAATTGCTAAAAAATATTTAGCCATTTTAAAAATAAGGACTTTTTCACCATTCAGAGTTTGATATCAAAGTGGAGAAAAGTCTGCATCATGCGACAAAAAAATCTGCGGACAAGTATTGTAATCTCACATAACAGCTCACATAAGAAAAAGTATCAAAGAAGAAACTATTCCTCTCATACTGCTTAGGCACAGCAATAATAAAGCAGCACATACAGCAATAAACACAAATTTACACATCATAGGTTACTATTTGCTGACTGTGTGCCTGTGTTTCAATGACACTAAAAAGACTAATACAAATCTAACTAAAGACGGTTCCTGAACACACATGCAGTCACACAAAAGACAAGTTTTTTGTTAGAAACAGAATGGCAAGAATTAGGTTAGAGGCAAAATGTCACCCAGTTTACAGCATATTCTAAGAGGAAAAAAAAATCATTAGACAGGACGGTACCATCAACAAGTTGACTTTCTTTTGAATAGTTTGACTTTCTTTGGTCACTCCTGCTGACAGCATGGAGACTCAGCCATGCAGATTATCCTTGTCTACAGGCAGCTGCGGGAGCTGTTACTGGGTCAGAAGTCAGGTCACCTCTCCGTTAGATGTATGGATTTGGTCCTGGGCAGCTACCTTTACAGCTGCTGTTCCCCTTCAGCATGGCCCCTCCCCCTGACCACAGCAGATGATTTTTTTTCCATTCCGGTTTACCTGACATCGAGTTATCTAGTTTGTACTGCTCCTCTCCTTCAGAAAAAATGCAGCCAAGCAGCATTCAGATGATTTTTGTCTTTGCCATCAATTCACTAAATATGTGTTAAATTACTGACAGGATGCATTATGCAAAGTTAGTGGGTTTGCAGTGTGGTGCCACACAAAGACCACCGACCATGCCTGCACAACCACAGTACCACACAGGTCCAACAATCCCCCACTCCATCATCAACACCACCCCACTAATACGATAAGCTATCTTATCTGCTGGTTTATATAGCTGTTATAGTGTTATTGCATCATTAGACTTACCCACAGCTGACAATGAGGATTTTTTATCATATCTTAACAAGAATGTCCTGTAGATGTCGAATTAATCAGGATTTTGTCAAAGAATTCAGTCATAAATGCTCATATACAGCTACAAATCTTCCTATCTTCATTATATTTAGTGTATATTGAGTAAATAAACTTCAGATGTGTATGAGCTACTATTACAAATATAGGTTGAATCCAATTTGTGCTACTGGAAGGTATTAATGATTTAAATCAAATTCCAAATGAGAAAGTGCAGAAATGGTTTAGCAGGCAACAAGGAGTTGTGCTGTTTTCTCAGACTGTTTCATCACACAGAACTGATTCCTTTATGGCCGATGTTGTGCATTATAGGACACTGCTTCTGTCATTCGACCGGTCTGCCTTGCTATTTTGATTTAAAAATCACAGTTTAAAGATAACAGCACATGGAGTGAAAGCATACTGTAATTGTTTTTAAAAAGAAAAAAAAGTAATCATAAACAATTTTTGGTATCGTGAAGTGAAGAGGCTGTAGTTGAGAGAATTTGGATCAGGGCCTGCCAACCCCTGGGCAGGGTTCACCGTGGGAACAGAATTGGGCAGAGCCGTGTTGGTGCCGGTCCACTTCACACTGTTGCTTTGGGTGGGTTCTGCATGCAGAGCTGGGATTGGATGCTGGAGAGTGGGATGCATGTATGAAGGCTAGCCTCAGAAGAGGTGGGTCATGCTAGAAGATGTACACAGCGAGATTATTTGACTCCAAATCATGCCGTTCAACATAATGCGATAAAACCGCCTGACATGAGAGATAAGTTCCATTTCAATTTTTAGGGGGAGAGTAAAAAAAAGAATTGAGAGCAGACTCAAGGCTGAGATGAGGAAGAGGCAGAGAAAAGCAGAGAGAAAAGATGACAAAGGATGTGGCATGCAGACAAAACAATTCAAGAGCTTTTGTAAGCTACAAATAAAATCCACTCTTTGGCTGGAATAAATGTCACATGAAATAATAAAGACACATAACACCAAAAAGCCCTGTGTGGGTACAACCACTACTAGAAAACCAATACAAAAGAACATAGAAATCAAACGATATTGAGAGAGATGGCTTGAAACACATTGTTCAAACACTTAAAATGGAATGACACCAGGTTCATCTGGAAAAATGTAACAGAAGAACACATATCTGAAACAGAGAGAGTTACTGCTGAAAAGCAGACAGCGGCAACGGAAATGGCCGATGTCTGCTTTGAGAGTGCAAAAAAAAGCTGACTGAGCTGGACGCCATGGGAGGTGGGGGAGGGTGGGCAGCTTAGTGGACATGCATCACAAAGGATTCTGACCAGCTGATGTCTGCAGCCGGTCCTTAAGACAGTGCTCTCTACCCCCCCGCATACCTTAAACATTTGCTACATTTATGCTCTGTTGTGTGCATTTCTGTTTAAGAATAAAACCTCATTTTGTGCAGTGGGGGCAATGCTAAAAATATCAAATTCTTGATAATTATTACTTATTTGGGATTTTTTTCCTTGTCTGCCTTTTATTTATTTTGTGTATTTTACCATTATTCAATTTTTGTAGATTCTATCAGTTACATCTGAAACTAAATTGCAGTTAGTGTAACAGCACTGAACTTCAATACAGAGGTATTACCTAATACTCAAATATTTTTAAAATGAATAACTATAGCCACTTAAATGTAAAATTTCTATGTATATTTAAAAAATTTTATGTATATTTTAATATACATAACATGTAATTTATATGATAATTACATAAATAAATGACTATGGTCTGGAAAGTTTTAAGGCGTCTATTTTCTGCATTATTTTGTGTTTTCTCAAACTGTGTTTCACCCCTTCATTGCTGGAAGGTGTGCATGTCCTCTTTGTGTTTAAACATACAACACACTTAATGCTACTCAAAATACAGTTATTGTTATGAAGTCTCTTCCTATTAGGTTATAAAAACTATTTATGTGTATAAAAATGCATAAAAATGTGAGAATTTTGCAGTCTTTCATTTACTTTATACATAACAAAAGTACTTATTTTATTGGGTGAAGTGCTGTAGACATGCATTTGCTTATATAAGTATTAATTTGTTTCAAATTATGAATAAGAGAACACTGCTCAAGAAAATCCTTCTCAAAAAGCACCTAAAGATGTTCTCAAGGCACAGAGGAACGAAGAAACAGTGTTTCAACGGATGGAATCTTCCACCCCACTTTGTGAAAGTTCTCTGTTTTAAAGGTACATCCAACGAAACACTTTTCATTGGTTCCAGTTATATATATATATTTTTTACTTAAAGTGCCTTTTTTTAAAGAACAGCCTTCGGTACCCTTTAAGAAAATAAAAACAGCCAGAGACAAAAAAAGGTTGGAAAATACTGGGGCTGAAAGCAGACTTGAGTACAGGAAGGGGGAAGGCAAAAAGGATAGATTAAGGAGAAATAAAAAGAAAAGTCACGCTAATCAGTTAAAGTAGCAGCAGAGAAATGCAGCTCAAAATGTGACTTATCCCTCTTTGCCCACAGTTTTGTCACATTTTGGAGCACCTCCTCCTGGTCCAGGAGGAGCAGGCATCCTACTTACATCAAATAACCTTTCTATGTACACCTCCTCATTGACCTTTTCTCGGAGCATGTCCTGTGAGTGGCGCACACAGGTCACGTATCCATCCGCCACGTCCATCCCGGGCTTCTAAAAGACACAGGCAGCGCAAGAGAGAAGGGCATTAGAGAGGAGGGAGCTAGGGCGACGGCGTGCGGCCAGGAATCAGGAGAATGACAAGCTAAGGTCCATGGGCCAAGTCAAGGAGGGCACTGCAAGCGAGCAACCCTGCTTTGCTGCTAATGTGAGCATTTTTCAGATGTTTCCACACCTGTGGTTTATGTCGTCTTTCATGGGATACTCTTTGCCCCGTGATATAAGCTGCATGGGCAGGCCAGGTCCTGCCAATGCTCTAAGGCCAAGCCAATTTGTTTGGAGTATGTCAAAAAGGTCTTTCAAAGGATTTTTTTTTTATAAAAGGGGCCACATACAGTAGTTCTGGTGTGTGACAATGCATTTTACAGATATCTGCAGTCTGAAATGTGGAAGTAAGACCCTTCTCTGTGTGAACACAAGGGGGGTAAACAGGTGTGTCACCATCTTAATGTACATGTGACGGGATGTAAAATAAATACCAGTGGGTGAGTACCAACGTTTGTCCAAAAATGTTTACTTGTCATTGAATAATATTGAGAATGTTGCTTATGGCTCCACAAATAAGCTTAGTTTTTATGAATTTAGCATCACATTTTATAATCCTTGCATCACACTGCGTAAAAGACAGGGATGCAGTGAATGCAGTGGTATAGCAAGTAAGCAGGCATATGGATATTAAGCAAGTTTTCACTTACGGGAACATCCACATACTTTGAGGCTGCTTTTACCTTTGGTGAGGAAAAAAAAATATGTTACATAACCACAGAAGCTTTTTAAGCATGTGCTCGTCAAGAAAGTCCTGTTTTCTTTTTAACTGCTCAGTCACTAAAGTAAATCAAGTTCCAAGTGTGATTTTTTTTGTAATGTTACCACTACAAAGCTCTTGTGATCTTCGAAAATATTTCACAACTATAACTGACATATATTGTTTCTCATCTTTGTGTAAATGGAATACGGCCCATTAAGCAGAATAATGTAAGCACCTTTGCATCTCCTCGCAGTAGCAAACCCGTCGGTGGAATGACGGATGCATGTGTCTGCAGCGTGGTAATGAGTACCTGCAGATGGTTTGGGTCTGCGCAGTGCAACCGGAGGAGTGCTCACTTACTGTGAAAGATAAGAAGGACGAAAAGAGAGTGCCTTCGTCGTATCTGGACAGCTTCGCCAAGACGCTTTCCAGAATGGTTACAAACTGTCAGGTGGAAAAGAAATATGAAAAAATACAATATTTTTCCAAACACTTCAATTTTATTAAAGGTAGCCTTTAATAGTTGATGTGGACACTTTTTGTTTGGTCATGCAGGTGCTCGATGCTAACTCACCGTAGCACGACATAAAAAATTTTTTGGACATGCAGAGGAACGGATGTCATGCCGGCATGTTTACCTTTCCCACCAGGAGGGAAATCATCTCCTTAACAGAATCTTCGATGAGAGAGTCAATTTTGGAATGCTGCTGTTTCTGGGAAGGACAAGGAGCAAAAACACAGGCATTACACATACTATATGTATCACAGCTTAGTAAAAAGACAATGTTCAAATTTGAATACAGAAACCCAACAGTTTAGCATAAGGCTTCAGCAGTGACCGCAGTTCATTTTATCATGATGTACGACTGTGTTCTCTTCATATTCCTGGCGTCCTGTTATGACACCTGAAGGGCTATTGAAAACTGATAAAACAAATGAGTTCACGTAAAATTCTCACTCCCCCACGTTTAAACGGCACCACAAGCCGTCACTGAGTGCGCTGCTCGGACAGCGTGGCTGTGCGGAGGCGTTGAGCCCTCTGTGGTACCTCCTGGCCCATCTCCATGGCACACAGCTTGGCAGATTGGTCCTTGGCGTCCACCATCACGTTGAACATGGTGCATATTGACTGTGGGATGCGGAAATCTGTCGTCTTGCTGCTCTTCTGGAGCTTCGACTCGAAAGCAGCTCGCGTGCTGGGTGGCCGACACAATGAGGCAGGCAGACAGGAATGAAACACGGCTCCTTTTCAAAGTGGAGGTGGATATTTCTCTTTATATAACTCATTCTAAGAGGAACATCAGTGATGAATGATTCTCCTGGCTCTCAGAGCAATTTAAACCTTAATGTTTCCAGGTCACCCATATGCAAAGTCAACAATTAGAAGGGCCAATTTCTCAAAACACTGCTGTAATCTGCTTTCATATGGAACAGAAAATTACTGCTCTATGAATATTCAAACCAGTCTTATTGAGTGAGTAAGCCCAGAGTTGTGCTTTTGGCACTTGACTTTTGTGTCTTTGGTAGTCATTTTCATCATTATCAGGGGCACCATAGCCTCTGACCACTGACCGAGCAGTCAGTGAGGCATGGAGCTAAAGTAGTTGCTTCATTAAGGACACAGCAGGAGTTGTCGACTGCAAGGCTACCAGCCTGAGGGTATGGAGTGTGTAGAAGGCGGCTTTATGGACTAGGGCGGGCCTGGGACAGTCTCACCGTTTCACGCAGGATTCGATCATGTTACTGGACATTAGCTTCATACGGTTGTCCAGGTGCTTGGCAAACTCCTCCTCGGGCCAGTGCAGGTCCCGAATGAAGGTCTGCAAGGCATCCAGCTTCCAGAAGAGGTCCTCTGTGGTCCCAGAGCCATTGCTGTCCAGAACAGGAACAGGCAAAGGTTAGTTGCTATCACTCCTACATCAGGAAACAGAGGAACTATGTCAAGGAGCAAAGAAGGCCAGCACCATGGTAGGAGTAGAGCGCACTGCATTCCCATGCCTCCAATGCTTTGGGTCCATGTTTTTCATTATTTTTACCATACACTGATGAGGCCTAATTATTTTAATACAAACACAAGAATCTGTGCCATATGGAGCCATTAGCTGGTGAACATCAATTTGGACCATCAGTTCATGATAAAAATAAGAGGACATACATATAAGCCTGTGACACCTTAAAAACCACACAAGCACATGATTATTTCCACTGGGGGAGACCTATGAAATCATGCATTCTGAAATTGTCATTATATTTCATGATACTCATTGGGATACACGTTACAAGTGAGGCTGGTGAATGCAGTGGTGAGAGGTTGTATCTGGCTTTGAGGTTTTTACATGCTTTCCCTTTGGTGCAGATCTTCACACCTGACCTAGTCAGCATGGAAGCCGTCTGACCGTCTATGGAAACTTCCACAGGCATAATGGCTAACGAGTCAAACATGCTACTGTATTAAAGATACCATTGATAATACAAAGGAATAGATACCTTTCCCTATGTGAAACTTGCATGAGCCAGACACTGTCCAATTAAAACAGAGATAATCTCCTCACACCATTCATACCAGACCGTTCACTGGGTCTCTGGGACGTTGGACACTCCATGCATGATGAAGGGTTGCTGTCATCCTCAGTAGATTAGTACAGGGTAGAGGAATAGGGGTGGTTTGGGAATTGGGGGGAGGGTCTACTGTCTCGCATGCCAGCTGGAGCAGAGTGAAGACTATTGCCCACTGACAGCTTGAGTTAGGACTAAACACTCGGTGAAGTGTCTCTCCACCACTGGGAACTCCTACTGTCAACCCCTGGTGCTCTAAGACAGCAAAACAAACACTCAAGGCCCTCTTTCGCTCTAAGTTATTTTATGAAGGAAGACTGGAGGGAAATAAAATTCTGGAAAGATGCAAAAACCCTGTTTAAGGCTTTCATATTTAAGCTTTGTATCTGCATCAGTGTACCTAATGATTCATATGAAAGGTCTGAGCACAATTTGACCAAGCAATGAAATTCCGCATTGTTTTTTTTTCTCCCTTTTCACACAAAGGGATAATATTATTGCTACACAAATGGTTGATAGACACCTTGGGTTAACAAGAACTGAAGAAGTATATTGCAATCAATAAGATAATGTCGCACTGCATTGAACAGGTGTACAAAATCAAGTTCTGGATTTGCTTGTACACAGCTGTGAGATAACCGTCAGTGATTCTGTTCTGGGTTTGTATCTTTCCATCCTCCACTTGAACAGCATGCATGTTCAGGAAAGTTAAGAACATGTCCCCCAGTGAAAAAGTCCTCATCCAGTCTTCCGTTACAGTCTTGTCTTGGCATGAAAATGACTGTTGCAGTGAACCTTCGCCTGCACATTTGACTGACTATGTTTCTCCAGCTCCCAGTGTGCTGTGCTCTGGGTACACGTCTGGTAAGACCAGACCGAATAAGTAATGATGTGTTGAATAATGACAGGAGTTCATCAGTTCTGTGAACATCAGGCAGAGATTTTAAAGGGACCATGAGAGACCACATCACTGGGAAGTTTTGTTTAGGTAGCATTTTTATGTTATTGTTCAAATTAGAATTCATTTATTAATCTATAAGCTATGAATGTCTTTTCCAAACCATTATATAACTCTGTCATGGACAACAGACAAGACTGTCTTCCAAGTAAACAGACAAAACTGACCTGCTCAAAAATGACCTTAGCATTCATGAGAATTTTACCAGTTATCTTAGTTAAACATAATATGTATTGTTAATATGCTATAAGCCATAAACAACTAGTAGTAGGTCCATTATAACACAGCAAAGCAAAGCAAAATTTTGCAGAGTATTTTCAGGAACACTCCATTTTAAATACTCAGCTTTACCCACCAAGATAAATCTGTCCAGCCTGTATACTACTCAACACATCATTACAAGTTGCCAAATACTCATCTTAGTTTACCCATTTTTTACATAACAGTAAGCCAGGGAAAAGATGAAAAGATCTTTTCATGCCAAGGTGACTTGCATTAATTAATCAGATCTGAGGGGAACTCGTGGAATACACACTCAGAGTCATATATAGAGGCCATCCATGACGGAGTGGAAAAGCTAGGCATTTGTGGGAGATTAACTGACAGTCCTGCTACTGGGACGGGCAGATTTGGTACTTTGGGAATTTGGAGGTTCACATTTGGCAGATTCACATTGGGCAGATTACTTGTTAAACTCCTGCAGGGAGAAACAGACAAAAAGAAAATACTATAACAGTGACAATGCAGATGTTGCAAAAGCAGTGTGATGCTACTTAAGTACTCAAGTTTAAAAAAAGAAATCAAATGAAGAGCTAGAATATATTAGCTTAGCAATGGAAATTCTGGGCTAGCAGTGCTACCAAGGTTTATATATATTTTTTTTTTTCATTTTTGTATGGGACGCATGACAGAGATGCATTAGAAGCTCTTATGGTGAATGGAGAAGCTTGCAACAGAAAGATGAAAGTCAAGACACAACGACATAACAGAGGAAAAGAACAGGCAGCTTGGAACAAGACAGTAAACATTAAAACACTTTGATTTGCTTTAAAGGCACAGACTGTGAGGGTAAATTCCCAAAAAAAGGATGAAAGCCTTTATTAAAATGCTGACCTTGCGCAAACACACAGTATGTAATGTTTTATATACACAATAAACCTTCTTGTAGCAGTCTGTAGACTAAGGTGTGCACTGCATACAGTAGAAATTCTGTTTTCATGTACCTTAGCTGAATATTTTTTTTCTATGAAATGAAAACAGTAGTGACATACCTTATGTATAACAATTATAAACAAGATTTATTAGTACCCATATTGATTCTAGCTTACCTGTATATAGCACCACATAAAGCAATTGAAGCAAATGTCTAATTGATACGATTAATGTTTCATTGACATTATGTGCTGCTTGTGATGTTGTTACTAGCATCCATTGATTCATAGCAGGCTCACTGTGCTTCAGAAGTGATACAGAAATGGCTTCCTTACTTCACGGGCTCCCACGACTCGCGATCAAAGCCCTTATGTATTGACTGTGCAATGGAAGACTCCATCAGGTCCACATATTTAACCACAAGCGGGGCATATAGGTCCTGCAGGTGTTTGTGGAACTTCCCGTTGCACAGGTGGCCTGTGGCAGAGAGATGCAGAGGGTACGTGAGACACTGTGTGACCCGTTCGCACTCTGTCGCGTAACATTCAAACAAATCCGTTGCCTTCATACTGCAAGGCAGGGAATGAATATGATTCACTTTGGTGTATCTTCCTGGGTTCTGAGTATGAGCTGTTTATATGCGTAGCTCAAATGTAACAAATGTACAAATCTAAGAGGCACTGCATACCATTGAAAATATCACTGACAATTATAAATTTAAGTGCTACATTGTATATACTTTTCCAAAATGTAATAAGGTTCCAGTTTTCAGCGTTTTCTACATTAAAAACATTAGCATTAACAGATAACATTTTAGATAAGTCTCAGAAAGTAAAGATTCCCCAAGAATCTTTATGAGGAGCCTTTGAGTAACCTCACAACTTAAGGCTTAAGCATAATGTTTCTTTCAGTTTCAGATAATACATTGACAAATCCTAAATGAGAGGCAGAGTTACTCACAGTCGATCCGGAGGAAATCGTTAAGCAGCTGGAAGAGTGGAAAGCTGTCCCAGCTCTCTGGAGACTGTATCTCCAGGGCAGAATCCATGTCCACGGCATAGAGCGACAAGAAGTGCTCAGCGTGTTCCACCATCAGGTCGGACCACCACGCAAAGGCCTTTTCATCCCAGGGGAACAGAAAGGGGTGGAGCGGGGGGAGGGGGGGGGACAGGAGAGGGGCCAACCAGAGACAGCAGTCAGTTACAGAGGCAAAAGTGGGGCCCATCAGAGACAGCAGTCAGTTAAACGGGCAGGAGAGTGGCCAACCAAAGACTGCAGTCAGTTACAGAGGCAGGAGAGGGACCAACCAAAGACTGCAGTCAGTTACAGAGGCAGGAGAGGGACCAATCAGAGACAGCAGTCAGTTACAGAGGTAGGAGAGGGACCAATCAGAGACAGCAGTCAGTTACAGAGGTAGGAGGCATTAAGAGCCCATGGGAGAAAGTTCGCTGAGCAATTCTCATAAAGATTAGAACAACAGCTTATAAAGTATTAAAAAAACACTACCGATGCCAAGAGAGCGTTTCGTATCACCCTGGCTGTCTGTCTGTTTGGATGTGTCTTTCAACAATAAACATTATATTATTTTAATTTAATGAAAATAAAAGCATATAGGAGTGTAATTTCAACTGTAATATTTCAAACAAAGCATAAATGAATGTTATATTTCACACAAAGCAAGAAACTGTAACCCATCAGTATTTGAAGCTGCCCACACCTGGGTTTCACACAGTCATTCCTCGGAATGTTGGCATGCATAAATGCCTTTAGTTAGATTGTGCTCTCCTTACAGAATTAGCATAATAAAACTCAGACCTTGTTTAATGCATATTATGCAATGTCTGTCTCTTGCTACAGGATTTTAGATGTAATATTCTAATATTCTTAGGCCAAAGAAATTGTGTATTACATTTCCATTTTTTGTATTCAGCAGGGTGACAAAACTTGTAAGGGTTTTTCATGCAGGCAAGGGACTCCTGGCATGCCGTGTCCCTCCAGGCCACTGGAGGGTGCTATAACCGGGTATCAGTTTTCCACCATTCACATCAAGAGCAAGTGAGATGTGAATGTTTCACGTCTTCATGCATCCATGTGTTTTAATGTGCCAACGACTGTTATCATGCAGCATACGGTTTTAGTAGCAACAGGACCTTGTAAAAGAGATTATTTTCCCAAAAATAACCTTTTAACCTGGCATTGTGAAGAATGCCACCATTATCTCAGATGAATTTTCATTGAAAACATTTTTTCAAAGAATTGGCTTTAAGAAGAATTAAAGAGTGCAAAACGTGGTGCACTAGGCTGAACAAGGCTGTCTGTTGCTAATGGGGCCGATCTGCTTGCAGTCTTGGCCTTTTATCTCTTCATGGAAAGCTGATGAAGTACATTAGAGAAATGCAATAGGGAATTTGTTACACAGAGAAGTTCACCTGGCGGGTGAGCAGCATGCTTCCAGCAGTAATAGCGTCAATAAATCAGGCGAACGTTGGCGATTATACCCCCGATGCGTCTTACCTTTCCTCACTTACCTCCACCCACCTAGATACCACCCATCCCACCAAACATAAAGGACTAATTTATTTTCATTTGTGTCACAGGCAATAAACACAACTCCTGGTGCAATAGCAGGTTAGAGACAAACCACAAGTAAAATCCGACTACGGTGGACAAGTAGAGGGGTTGGGGGGGGGGTGGAGGCGGGATTTTTAGCATGGGGAGGAGAATGCGGGCAGGAATCAGTAGGGTGGGGAGGGACGGGATGCTATGCATCTTTGCTCTTCCCCGAACATGACGACTAAACTGGCAACCTTGCAAAAGGGTGCCAGGACTGGGGACTGCATGAGCACTCCCCACAGAGATGAGGAGGGGGTGCTGGGGGATCCAGAGCCGGGGTGGGAGAGGGGGAGTGGGGGGGCGTAGGTAACGTCCCAATTACGTAAGGGAATGGGACACCCGCAGGACATGCACAAACTGTGATGTCATCTCATTCAGCTGAGCCACATACCTCTTTTCCCTGATTGGATCATGGCGTATCGAACGAAAAGTTCAATAAAAAGAACAAAAACAAAAAAGATTTGAGCAGAAAAAAATCAGGCATTTTTTCTGAGTATTACTTCTATCTGTCACCACAGGGATTTCAAAAACATTAAGCACGAAAGAGAACCTAAAACATCACAGAGTACCCTAAGACAATGGCAAACATCATACTATATTAAATTATTAAATTACCAAAGGGAAATGAAGGACATAATGGATTGATTTATCTAACATAGGATACTACAGTGCTTTAGGATGAGACCTGGAATACTTGACTAGTCACTCAAGGGGACAGGGACAGGTGGAAATATTTCACAAGCAGTTTGTTATGACAGGAGAAAGGAGCAAGAGTGACAAAACGGCCCGGGAGCCTTGGCAGGCTGGCAGAGAGAGAAACTGAGGAAAACCACATCTCTGTGCCTTCTGCCGCCAGCTGCTAAGCCTTAAAGTCCGAGCCACCATGATGGGGAGATTCTGATACTGCTTTACAGGAACAAGTCAAGTATAAAATGTAGTTCTCATCCTCTCATCCGGATAAAAAAAAAAAAACTGTGCAGAATAAATTAAATGTTTTCAAATAAGCCAATTTGGGAAGAGAGATGAACTCCATCTTGGAACGATGGCAGTCTAACCAGGGATATGGATGCTGAAATGACCTGAGCAAATTTCCTGCCCTCCAATCAGCACACATCAACTACAGTAAGTAAAGAGCACATGTGATGCGCTATGGAGTGACAGGGTGAAGCATGATCCTATTTGGTGACCATGGTCACATGACTGTCCATCCCTCGCTTCCAGCAACCACCCCCCACCAAAAAAACAACAGAAAACCCTATGTGGCTGTAGCTTACTTACATGCGCTAAAAGTCTGATATGCTATATGACTTAAGAGAAAAAAATGTGTATACTGTACCGATTGATCTCCTGTACTTGTGACTGCAGCCTGTTAAACATATTCAGAAACACAAAATAAATCTGCACATCTTAGAATGGTTAGACCTCATCTGCATCTCGAGACTATTTCAAATACAAGTACGTTTCAGAGAAAACGTAAAAGTAAAGTCCCCATTTTGGTATCTGTGTTTAACTTTTATAAAAACAAATGTGTGAATAAAGTCCTTGTTGGTCCTGCTGTCTAATACTAATTAATGTTTTTCTCAGAATATAATTTTATGAATGCTAATACTGTAAGCATTAACGCACCCATCGTGGCGAAGCTGCTGTATGGCACAACCAATCTACCCATCTATCTATCAAACAATACGGACTAAAAAGAGACATTTCTTTCATAAAACTGCACAGGCAAACAGATCTTTAAAGGACTGTCATTCTCCACCAGGCATGCACATCAGTGTGCCAGGACTAAAGAACATGTGTGTCAGTCATCTTGCCCTAAGAGCTTCACGTGTGTAAACTGCAATTCGCACGACACTGGCAGTGCGGGTGAGTGCGGGCAGGGGCGTCCTCAGGGGGCTATGGAGGTTTCGGATGAGACGGAGCCCACTCACCTCAGCGTGGTGATCCTCGTTCTGCTGAAGCACCTCAATGACTAACTCTGCCATACGGATGGTGTCTTCCAGTCTCTTGGCAGGTGTGGCCAAGCGAGCGGCATTATCTGGGGCAGAACGACGGGTGGTTACGAGAGCAGGTGGTGCCAATCGACTGAGTTCATGTTTTTTCTTAATTTTATTTTACTTTGATGTTCATTCATTCCTAACTCATGCTGATAATTAGCATGCAAATCATCCAGGTTTTTTAACTGTCAGTTAACTATCAGTGCTCTGGATTTAAAAAAAAAAACATATGTTCTCTCCAATACTAAGCACAACCAAGATTCAAGATCACATTCTTAACTGAGATTACTATCATTTTTAGAAATTATTATTATTATTATTATTGGACAAGAATAATAAACTCAAAAAGCTTTAGAATTTTAACAAGCCATTAGGTAAGATCAGAGAGAACAGAAGAAAAACAGTCTTTAATGACACAGTGATATCTGACGATTATCATCACAGCACGGACCATAGTCATGCACATGATTATCAGAGCACAGAGCGGGGAGTGTAACTCCCAGCTTAAACTGGTACCAACACAACAGGAAAGTTAACAAGAACAGTACAGGTATAATGAGTCAACCAAAATAATAATAATAAAAAAAGAGCAAACATGTTACAGTCATCATGCAGAACACTGTGCGGCAAAAATGTTGTTTCGTGTCAAACGCTGAGTCAAACATGACAGACGCTGTTAAACATGGAGAATGCATCCCTCTTGTGAATATATCAGCACAACATCAGATCAAAGCCCCAGAACGTTGGTTGCCTACAGCAAACTTTCAGAAAGCAAATTTGTGAAGGGAGGTAAAGTTATATAAAGAGCAGCAGGTGACTTTAAATGAAGATTGTATTCATTCTTTCGGCTAATGAAAATAAGTCAATTGGAAAAAGAAAACAGAAATGCATAAATGATTATCTTCTTGGAGGGGCTGTCCTATCTACCTGTGGCTACAGTATGTAGGTATAGCTGCCATGAGACTGGGCAAAACACAGGAAAGGAAGATGAGGGCATGGACCTAATGATGAATAAAGCAGGCGTGTGAGTGGACGGTAAGCACACCGACGATGTACGGCATTGGAGGGGATACAGATGTGTTGTGATCCAGTACCACAGCTGTGATAGGGAAGCTCTCAAGGGAAGAAGTTGTGATGTAAAGGGTCTGTCACATATTTCCAAGGGTTATCACAATGTGATGACACAGAGCTAGCTGGTGGAGGCTCACACTGACCTGCAGTCATTCTTTTGGCTTTTGGCTTAACAAACATGAATTGCCTGAAACCAGCCACTTAAGAAATCAAATACTGGCTTATATTAATATCTAGAACTCCCACTGTGTAATCTCTCTTTCTCTTTTTCTATTGCAGTTATAACCATCGTGCATTCTGCTAATGCCAACAGGTAATACAGGGTAATTCTACGTGAATGAGCAAATGCCGCAATTACGTAATTATCTCCAATTTTAATTGTTTCCCTGTTAACAGTAAAGTCAAATTATTAAAGGATTAACAGATGTGCCAACCCCTTTTAAATCTGACTGAACAGCTAAAGTGGCCAGAAACTTTTGAGCAAAGACTTTCAACTATTTCTAAAACTCATAGTCTACCCATGTAAAGAGGCCCACACAATTAAGGCTCTCCGTGGCTCCGACTGTCAGTCACAGAAAGACAGCTCTGTTAAACTAAACTTTTTCTTTTTATCCTGTTGGTGAGACTGATTTGTTCTCCTCCATGTATGTCACGCCGATAGAGCCCCACCTAGTGCTAGACAGAGAGCATATGACAAAATAACAGCCATGAAGTAAATGTCGCTCTTCATTTTGAAGCATAAAACAGTTAAAATCACACTCAGGACACTGAAATACATTTTCTAGATGTGAAAAAATGTTAGATGTTAAAAAAAATGCTGGACCACAGGTATACTGTGACTGCTGGAGGATAAAAAAAACAAGAAAAATGAGTTACAAATCTCAAAGGACACCGAAGCAGACAGCGGAAGCAGAGCCACTAAATCTAAAAAGTCACTAAACAAAAATCCTCTAAACTCTGAACCTCTAGTGTTCATCAGCCTTCCACTTCCAGCTTAAATTACAGGAACACTTCTAACAACGAAATCTTTATCTGCCCGCAGTCAACATTCCTCAGTCGGGCAAGAAGATTCTGGAAGGATGGGGGTAATTGGAGAAGAACGTAACAGGTGCGAATGACCCTGGTTAGAGCCTACATAGGTGCTTCCTCCTCGTCGGAGTGGACCGTTGCTGACTTTACAGCAGAATCCTGCACACAGTACCGCCCTCTAAAAGTAAAGTGAACGGCCTTAATTTGATTTATTACCCTGAGTGCAGTGTGGGCTTAAGGAGAATCATTAAAAATGAGCAGCGGGAGAAGCTGGACTTGGTGATATGGAGCAACATCCGAGGCTCTCGGGGCCTTTTTACGACACCAGGATGCAAGATGATGCCTACAGCAGCCTTCAGAAAGGTCACCTCTGCTTCTAAGACCTCTGATTATACTGCACAGCCTGCGTGCAACATCCTGTTAGAGGATAATAGCCAGATTTCCTTGCCACTCGCAAGATGTATTCCACAGAAAGGTGTCAAAAAACCAGGGTGTGCTTCCTGCCTTCCATATAGAGCACCAGCAAGTGTGAATCAGCGAATAATATTTGTAATAGCTGAGCAAAGCCAGTGAGACAAGTCAAAGGGACACTGGCAACAGTGATATACAGTAGCGATATTATTTTAGTATTGTATTATCATTAAAAATTATCCTACTTTCATGTGCAGCGTATTAAAGCAATGATTATGATACTGAAAATGATTAATATATTAGTGAATGAATTACCATATTTATGAATGAGAGCGTTTTTAAGTATTTCAATATGAGTGCCTTTGAGAGACAGTATAACTTCATTCACAGTTTTCATTCAAAGTTTTCATTTGATCTTCTAATGAATTTGCCACAACGAATTTTGAATCAAGTCACAGAAAATAGTGAAGAAATACCATCTCTTCTGTTTGGTATGATGAAGATACTAAAAAAAAATCTAGTGATGGATCAGCGGGAGAATATATCAGAATTCACTAACTAAAGAGGGTTTCATTTCAAAATTTCAAAAGGCGAGAGGAGAATGATGTGTGGATTGATGCCATACTGTACTTACTCTAACGCGCTAAGCTTCACATTATGTGCTGCTGCATTTGCGAGAAATTCAGTGACGTGTGAGTACCGTGTGAGTACCGTGTGAGTACCGTGTGTGTGTATGTTTCATAAACTAGGCTAGAAATCAGACAGAGGGCTTCACCTGGATCCTTCTGATCCTTTTGATCTTTCTCAACTTGAGATTGAGAGAGACCGAGGAGGAGAAAAGAGAGACAAAAAAGAAAAGATTTCAGGATTAATGAGAGGCGGGCGAGAAAGGCATGTCTCCTAAAGTGGCCGACCAGGTCGTCGTTCCCCTCTGTCTGACCCCGACCCCAGGGGACCCTCCCTCCGGTGGCTTCATATGAAGGGAAGACTTTTGTCAATGGAAAGCCAGGCGATGGACAGACACCTTTACAGTCCCATAACTACGAAGAGATGTTAGCCTGAGTAGAAGGGTACAAATCAACAGACATCGACAAAACAAATACACACAAATAAAAGGTTACAGATGCGGTAACAGGTAAGACACAGAAAGCCGTGGCAACTCTAGACAAGACACACATATTTGTGACTGGCAATTGAAGACACTTATAAGTACTCAATATGCATACACACAGACAGCTTTCCTCCTGGCAGTTCCCAGCTGCAGCTGGCTAATGTCCCTCGGCTCCCAGAGCAAAAGCACTGTCATATCTGTCCTGCACTGTGTACCAGTGACAAGTGTTCAAAAAACTGAGGGATACACAGAAGCAGAGTAAAAATGCATTCAAGTCACAGGAACGAGCATCAATGCAAAAAGCTTACAGGTATTTCACGTCTCTCACAAACAGATGGACGCTCCCTTAGTTCCCGATTACACAGTAGAACCCCTCCCCACACACACACCTCCCCCAAGGACCGCATCGATCTCTCACAGCTGGTTTCACAAACAGAAGCAAGGGATAGGGAGGCAAAAATACTTGAAGCGAGAATGCGGCATCGATCGAGGGCTGTTTTTGGTGTCGGGGGGGGGGGAGAGAATGGGAAACAGAAAAGGTGAGAAATGAAGGACTGGGATGGTGAGGCTGGTACTCACGAAGGGTTAATTCCATCACTTGTGACGCCAAGCGGAAGACAGGATGCTCAAATATTTCTCTCTTTTTCCCTATAAAAGAGGATTTCGGCATGCAAGAGGCTTCGGTCAGAGGTAAAGAGGGTTACAGGTTGGGGGGGGACACTGTGTCGGGTCAGAGGGTGACAGCTTCCTGGCCAGGTTGGGTGCAGGATAAAACCACCAAAAGACTACAGTTAAAAACCACTGAGAGACCGGCTAGGTGGAGCATCCGCTGGACCAAGCTCAACACAAAATTTTGACCTTGAAAAATGCCGCTTAGATTGAAGCTTTCCAGGTCATGGCAAAAATATGAGAGCAACACAAAAAGTTCAATTGGTTTGCTCCCAAGATACCATTGGAATAAGATTTTAGTATCTTGAGCATATGTGGGTATTTCTTTTTAGGCATAGACTGCACCAGGCTGGTATCAACACTAAAAAGATCACTAATGCAAGGTGTGGTTAAGCAATGTACACGCTAACGTAAGCCATTAGTTAAATAAAAAGATAATTCAGAAGAGTGGTGAGTTTATGCCTATTAAAGAAAACCTGCATAGAAGACATGCATTTGACCAATGTTGATCTGCCCTAGAGGGCAGTCCCAGCATGCTTTGCACATTGGCTTCTTTGCCACTGTTTATGCAACCATATAAACAAGTCACAAAGCCAATAGTGAGGAAGGGGGAAAAGAGAGGGAGCAGAAAGGATCTGGAGGTGGTTGAGGGAGGGGTGAGGGTTTTTCTTTTAAGAGCTGAAGAACAGGACTGCTCCCTGAATGTATTATACATATTATATATTATATATGTTATAATGTACACAGGGCCACACCGGCAGCAATAAGGAAAACAGCACAGGTGAAGCCAGCATACAAAAATAAAGAACAGTGCGAGTTCTTCAGATATAGAATTGAATGCATTTTTACTTACACACTTCTAATAAACTGTATATGACCTGCGGCACTATTACAACAGACCTGAAATAAAGCGTACAGTTAAAAATGAAAAGTGGAGCTGTCTGCCGCACGGGGCAAGACGCACCGAAACAGCCGCTGTGGAAAAGAGAGAAGTCAGGAGGCGGGAGCAGAGGCAGGAGCAGAGGCAGGAGCAGAGGCACCACAGGGAACCTGGGATTCCAGGAGCCGTTCTGCGTGTTCTGATCTCCGGTACACAGCACGCACATTCACCACAGTCAACGGATGCTGCTTTAAACACTCAGCAGAGCACAGACTCATGTGGGCCCGTCACGCTGCCGCTGCTCAAAAAATATCGATTCGTCTTCGACATCTGTCGTGTCACCTTAAATGAACCCGAGTTGGGGGGGGGGCGTGGCCGCCGCACCTGCAGACGACACAGCGGCCAATCGCCAGTGACCGTGTGGGAGGAGCCTGTGCGTCACTGCCATCTGTTTCATAACAGCACCCAATCGAGGTAAAAGCTGCTCTTTGACCCAGCCTCCGTTTTTAATACTGCATCACCGACAGAGCTTTGCTAACCAGAGAAAAGAGACGTGACAGCGCTGGAGATACCAGAATTCTGCTTGTAGATGAAAATGTGTTATTAGCACACTATAAAAACAAAAATGAAGCTATAACCTAGTAAAACACATTACTTAACAATTACTCGTACAATACAGGCTGAAGTACATGAAGGTTACCTGAATTAAGTCGTATTCTAGCATTTTCTCAATGTAGACATGCGACCTCAAATAAAGAATATGACCTTCGGGAATCCACTGTGGGTGTCCTATGGGCTGAAATAAAACCTAACTGCGAGTGAGTATTAGTTACCTTCGATTTTGGCGTACTCGGTGATGCGCTGGTAGTTAAGCAAGGCCGCCTGTTCCAGACATTTGCGAATCACACCTTTCACCTCTTCCTGTGGCACTGGGGTCACAATATCTTTCATAAGGACCTGGGAGGGATTAAGACGCACTTCAGAAAGGAAACACACTCAGATCATGTGACTCTCCAGTGGACAACTGGCGGTGCTGCTCTTCACATTACATCAGGTCTGCAGAGCTTCATTAAAGGCTAAACGTGTAGGAAGTTAATCTCTTAATGTCACTTTCTTCACTTTTATTGCTAAAAAACAGTCAAGTCCGGATTTCTGTATCGCAAAGTAATTGAAAAATAGAATTACACACCCTTTCTAGTAAAGACAGAGTAGCTTTCAGAGCTCCTTCGGGACGGCCGAATGGAAAGCTGTATCTGTTGGATAAATCACAACATGGCAGGATGCTCAACATCTCATCTCAATACTAATATTATCATAAATATTCCATTTAACTTCTGATATTCAACATAAAGTGTGTAAAGGCATTAAATGAAAGAGACAATTTAATTTTTCATTAGTTATTTCTTTTACCCAAAACAGACCATAGAGTATGAAATGTACCTGAAGTTAGTGATCTTGTCCTCCAGAAACACACGCAACTTCTCCTTGATATCCTCAAACCGTTCCTTCTCATCCACCTTGACGGTCCCTAATCCATCCGGCCTGAAAACAACATTCACTTTACTGCTCTGCCCCCAACAGTCACAATCCAATACTTTACTTTAAACACTGATGTTATTTTGGTGAAAGGTTATGAATCCATATTCTGGGGAGATTCAAAGGCCTGTCCAGTGGCACATTTGGTATGCATATTAGCGCTTTGAGATTTAGTTTTAATGAAAACTGAAAATGAAAAAATCTTGTTATTATTATTAGCTTATAAAACTAATTTCATTCGTCTTTAAAATTCATTGAATTACCCCTAATGATTCCTGGCCACACAATCCTGTCAGCAGGGGGCAGTGTGCTTCCACATCATCTGTCATGACATGTATATCTCCCATATGCATAGAAGATCAAATGTTGTTCAGTTATGTGGAAAATGATTTTTTTTTTTTATTTAGTTTTTTATTCATTTTCAAGGACCACTCTGACTGACAGACCGACTGACTGTGAGGCGGTCTTCACTTAGACCGGCTTCTGCTCACACAGCCACGGGCTGCCACCTCAATCCCCGCAGACCACGGGCCCCTGGCTTCCTCGCAGTCTCCTTCCCCGGAGCTGTCTCAGCACCCCCTACAGGGCTGTCACTGTCGGCGGCACGGCAGGGAGTACAGTCCCGCGGTCTATGTCCCACTTCGGTCACTCTCTGCCAGTGGGGGATCATACACACCCCCTCCATGTCACAGCAAAGAGTCACAGGATGGGTGGATGGGACTGCTGTTACAGGGAGGGAATTTTCTGGGTGGTGGGGGGAACCTTTGCCAAGGTTATGCAGTATTGCAAAAAATAAAAGGGCTGAAGAACACCAATCTGGTACTTTCAGACTGTACTGACATTTCTGTTAACACTAAGTAGCTTCATATTGTGCAGTATTTTTTATCTTTTAACCCCGAAATCATTTGATACAGTCAACCTGGCTCACATACTATATTTACTTGATGGGGCACAAATAATATATTATACTTTTACTTATGTATTAATTAACCAAGTCTTAGTCTTAGTTACATACTGATCTCATGTTAAAACCTGCATCACAATTTCTTAATGATCTCAAGCAGTTACTGTATTCGTTACTATATCTGTTAATTTTACAGTATAAACATTTGTGGACTATTGAAGGAACTATTGAAGGAATAGGTAATGAATGACAAGTGGAATACTGATCTCACGTTTGTTCATCATTAACAAAAGTGTGACACTTTTTTAATCTCAAGTAGCAACTATATTTGTTCATAATTTTTTACTTCAGTAGTAATTGAGTTATTACTAAGTATTTGTGCCCCATCAAGTAAAGTGTTACCCAATGTTTTTATCAGGATGGTGATCTTGAGTCAAAGGTTATGGGAATATACGCACTATTAATAGGAATTATTCACCCTTGGGTAGACTAGGGGAATGATATTAAATACCATAGTGTTTGGGGAAGAAGGAAGGTAGAGATTTGCACACCACTGTGGTCCTGCAGCATGTCTCAGTTGGTTACGGCTGGCCGATGCAGGCCTTTCTAAACAATCAGCACCTTCTGCCTGAGCTGCTGCAGCTTGGAAGCATCCAGACCTCTATGATGCAGGATCCTGACAAGCACCTGCCTCAGCCTTCTGTGACAGTGTGCAACACAGAGCTGCAACCAAGCACCGTGTACCGACATGCACAATAAATAATAAAAGCATGTGCACGCAAAAGGTTTCAGGTTGATTTCCATTGTTTTCATCTCTTTCCATAGGGCTGCCACTGATTCCGATTGGCCGCTGAACGCCATTAGGCCACATTCAACTGCTGAGGGGAGAAGGCGTGAGGCCTACCTGTTGCCATGGACGTGAGAGGCGCAGAAGGCAAAGCTGTAGTGCAGCAGGGTGGGGTCGATCATGGCCCCGTTCTCAGCACGCTCCAGCAGGTCCCCCAGATAATGCAGGTGTCTATGGCAGCCCCGCACACCATTGCGGGCGCAGTACTCATCCAGCACAAACACCTGTCCTGGACTGAACCATCCCTGCGGGTGGATAAGGGGGAGCTAAATACCATGAGAGGTAATGAGGGGCTATATGCTCAGGAATTAGAAACTGGGCCAAAGTTACATACATTACATTAATTTATTTAGCAGGCACTTTTATCCCAAGCAACAAAAACTTGAAAAAGTCAGAGTCACTGGGGTTAAGAGTCTTGCTCAAGGGCCCAATGGTGACATCACTCCACCGACCACGGGATTTGAACTGGTGACCTCCTGATCACGAGTCCTAACCTAGTGCCACATACTGCTCCGCTCACACAATTTCTACAAGTTTAACTGCTTACTAAGTCACATAGGGAAAGATTTGGGTATCGAGGCTCTCGCAGGAGAAAAAAAAAACTCCACGACGCACGTCACACTCACCAGACATGAAAAGGAGTCGTTGAGCCTGTGATCCAGCGTCAGCCGCTGCAAGATCTCGAAAAGGGAGGCGTGGTCAAAGCTACACGGGTTAGCGGAGATAAACTCATCCATCCCGTGTTTCTGAGCTCTGTCCGCATCTATCCGGTCAATCGCACATAGAAGAGGCAAGGATTCAGAAGAACAGACAGCATCAGGGCCAAGAACTGGGACAGCGCTCTTTCAACAGCTACAACGTGACATGGAGCTCTCTGCTCCAAGGGTGACTGATCTACCTCTACAGCAAAATGAGACAGTCACAGCATTACATTGTCAACTTGCATAATCATACAAGAGCAAATGAGACTGAAACTGGAGCAAAATACTGTTTTTTTTTTTTTTTGTTGTTTTTTGCAAATCTTTTGTGGGGCATGAGCAGCGTGGACGTGCGAATCTGAATGTGTGAGCATGCATGAGTCGCCTGGGCGCAACCAGCTTCCCAGCGATGGAGATGAGCTGCGGGAATGTTACCATCTCCCCCGGACAGAGAGCTCACCAAGCCAAAGCACAACGCAAGCTTCTTCAAAGTGCTACAATAGATTCTGCCATTCGCTAGAAGTAGAGTAAATTGATTTCCTAATGCAAGGTGAGTATTGTACTGAAAGAAACAAAAAAGTGATTTATTGTTTTGCTGAGAATTTTTTTTTTTGGAAGCGAATTTGTCCAAAAAAATCAGGAAGACTGTATCCTAGAGTTAAAACAAAAGATGGTTCGCCGGAGGATTTGTGATGGTAAACATGTAGTAGCTGCCTAAGGAAAAAAAAAAGTTTGACGCAGCTGCTTTCCCAGTTTATCTGCAAACATAAGCCAAGGCAGTAAAATACTCTGCTGTTTAGGATGTGGCAGCGACATGCACGTGGCCAAGGACAAGACGAACCCCAGCCTCCTTCCTCAGCAACATGTTGGGAACACAGAGGCGGCGAGGTGGGAGGGGCAGGGCAGGGCGGGGAGGGGGGGTGGAGCCCACCTCTGGGACTTAACCTGACTGAATTAATTATACTCGCTAAACAGGTTGGCTTGTCACTTCTAAAATTAGTACACCCTGCTGCCTAGAATACATTAAAATATTTAATAGCATTATGAAATAGGTTAAATACATTCGAAAACTTGATTTTAGACTGAACAAATTGCACCTGTTTGGACAGCTATAAAAATATTTCATGAAGATAATTAAATGAGTACCCATATTTAACTCTATGACACTAGTAATTAATTAATCATTTTAATAATTAACCTAAACTTCCTGGTTCATGACCTGTGTAAGAGCTAAAATTAAATTTGCTAATGCTATTCATCTCTCCTGAACTGAGCCCTGCGTTAAACTGCCTATTTATTAAAAACAACAGCAATAAAAGAATCTAAAACAATTGACAGGGATGCGCTACATATGAATGAAATCACAAAGGAAAAGGTGGCTCTGTTTCCCTTAGCAGGATGACAGTGAGCTTGTCGTGTGCACATGTGAGCCAGGTCACATATAAAGATGAGGATTTGGATAGTAATGAAAACACCAATAAACCATATGCACAGAAACAAATGAAATTTAACAAATGATGGTGACTGATGCCTGCTATTCAGTAATACATCCTTTCAAAAAAGAGAACTAAGAACTAAGTATAAATTTAATAAGAAAATAAACGGATACATAATTGCTAGAAGAGATGGCTCCCTTTTATTCTGAGAATGACTTTCTCTCCATGGGTGATCAGGCAACACGAATGGCACCTGAAACTTACTCCAAGCCACCAGCAGAGGGCACTATAGCAGGAAGAGCAGACTATACTGATCATGTCACTGAACATGTGACATTCAGCTATATAAATATTTAGGTTCACATTTTTATACTTTTGCATATTACACTAACTGAAATCTTACATTTGTGTAATATGGTTTCTGATATGACAAACGTACCAAAAAATGATTCAAAATTAATATTTTTTTTAACCAAATGTGATCTCCCAAATTATATAAAACATATCCGTCAATTTAAAAACTCTAAACTCGAAATGTATTTCACACCAAATGTGTTTGGGCTGTGTTTTCATATGTGGTGTAAAACTTGGAATCTCCTTTAGATTAGATGGTCTGAATTTTACTCACTTATTGATTTAGCATTTGCAAGTTGACAATACTTCAGTATTTTTTTCTATTTTGCAGTGTACTCATGAATTCTACAATGCTTTTAAAGCACACCACGACTTACGATCATGTTCTATTAGGAGAGCGATGCATTTTGGTGCAAATACATGGGTAGAGCATGAATCCAAGAAAGTGGAATTGTTTCATTCTTGGAAAGATGGGGCAAAGAAAATTCTGTATTTCCACCAACAAATGTATAACATCACATTCTTTGTCTCCTATTCAGGCATTCAAAGAACAAACAAACCAAAGCAACAGGAAATAGATTTAAAAATCCTTCCTGAAGGTGGAAAAAAATAAAAATAAAATGTCTAGTATCTATCCAAAATCCATCTACAGTTGGGAAAGCCTGGAGTATTGCATGGTAAGGACTGGCCTCACCTACTCCTTGTCATTAGCATTCAGCATACTCCAAGTACATATTTGCCAACTCTCATGAAAAATACATAAAATAAAACAAATTGAGGCCTCAAAAGTAAAGCAAAGAACAGAGAATTTTACAGCAAAACTGACATCTGAGTGGTTTCATAAAGATCTCCACTCTGCCTGGAAATAACTGGTTCTCAAAACACATTCAGTTCTAGATCAGCCTTATCTAACTATGTCCAAAACATTAATCATGCTACTGGTTTTTAATTTATTTTCTTGCACTTATATAATATATTAGTGTAAATAAGACATAAAGAAATTTCCAGAAAATAACATATATATGCCAGAGGTTGGACTATAGGTTTTAAATAAAAAAATAATCCATCCATCTATCCAGCCTCTTATCTGATATAGGGCTGCAGAGAGCAAAAAATAAGTGAATCAACATTATACATCTTCAAAAAAGTAAAAATAAATTATCCAAATAAAATCATATAGGGTAATTGATCCACTAATGTCAGAACTGGCTTAAACTAAGCTAACTGCTTTACTCTGAGGAGCCTTTACCACCAAATACAATTATGTAGAGAGAAGGCAATTATGCAAATACATAAATAGATAGATAGATAAATGTTTAACCAATATAATATGACTAAAAAAACCACATGCATCCTAATCTGGTAAGAATGGAAGCTCATATTCAGAACCTAAAAACCGAGGAAATCAAAGAGGACAGATCTGTCTACAGAGGTCTAGATATGGAGAGAGAATTAAGGAGGACAGAGAGAGAGTATAAAAAAGCACATTGCCTTAGTCAGATAATCTTGGCGAGATTATCTGAGCTGTGCTGGCTACAGGGATGCACTTACCCTTCAGTCCAGCTAGAAGATAGCGGGGTAAGAAGGAACAAACCAGAATAACATAAAGACTAGCAACAAGGCTGAGGAGAGCAGACAGGAAACCTAACCTAGCAGCTGTAGTAGTAAAGGGTACAAGCAAAGCATGAGAAAAGAAAACACGAAAACACAACTCGTACCAACATGAGAGAGAAAGTGGTGGGTTAGAAAGAGACAGGGGGAGCGACAGGAAGTACTACTGGGAGGGGGGGCGGGAATTAGGAGTGACAGAAGGAAAAAGAGAGAAAAGGGAGCAAAACAGAAGGAAAGAACGGGAGAAAGAAGGTTATCAGAGGGTCTGGGCATTCGCTTCATCACTCTGCTGTAGATGATTTGTTTGCTCTTCCGGCGCTCAAGTAGTTACTAGTACGCTAGTGGCCAAAATTGTGGAAACACTACCAATTTTTAGCGATTACAGAACTTTATTCCAGTTACTCCAGTTACTCATTTAGTCATCCAATGTATGATATTTGTAAACATTCTATGATTGTTTATAAACATTACTGCCAATATTTGTGTAGTAACTTTTAAAGCGTAATGCCAAAAATGCTAGCTCTTCCCACAATTTTGGCCACTAGTGTATATGTGTACAGTCCAATGCAATACTTTACTTTTCATACTCATCTTGCCTTAGCCAGTAAATATGACAGTAACATTATATTTCTCCATCAGTGAGCAAAAATGAAGAATAAGTATTATTGTTTAAGCAGAGGCTACATGATTACGATTACATGATTCTTGAGTCATGAAGTGATCATATGAATCCCTGTATCATCTGTACATTCCTCACCCAAATATTCTGCCTAGTAACTATGTTTGCATGCAGGCTGTTAGATAGGTTAGTAGTAATATTCTCCTAGACTGCAATTGGCCAATATAGTCATGGTGCTTGAGTTTTGAGGTCCCTACTGGACAGTCACATGAGCAGACAAATGCACTGCAGCAGAGCTCTGAGCGAGATCTCTGTTCCCTGACCCATGCCATTCAACCCGACCTAGGACAGAAACACCTACGAGGGACCACAGTGTTTCGGGGAGGGGTGTCACAGTGAGGAAGCTTTGAATGGCATCTGCTGGCCTTCAGAATCAACAGGTCACAGAAAGTCGAATGTTCACATACTTGACGAAACAAGCTAATGAACAAACAACACAGAACTTATGTTTATAGATTCTGTACAGCAGTTTATACGTTGGCTCTCACTAGGAAACCCTACTTTTTACAGATTTTTCTTTTTATTATACTGTACCGCATGTATTATACTTTAATCCTGAGGTTGCAAAGCCATACACCCTATGGCTGTTATACACCGAAAAACTACCAGTAAAATGAGCATTATAAAAACTGCAGCCTATTCTTAGATTTTTGCAGAAAAAATAAGTAAAAACATTTGCACATTTTCTCTGCATGCCATCTATTCTACTAACTTGTGCAGGTTAACCTTTGACAAGAATACTCCACTATGAGCTTATTAGGACACACACCAAAAACATGTTCTTCATTTGTTTCTGAATCGCAGGATCTATTATGGTTTAACACTCTGCTACCCTTCGCGTGTACATAGAGTAGAGTGGCCTTTCATTGTGCACAGCCCAGAGGCCCAGAGATACACAACACTGTCCACTGTCTTTGTGAGTGTACCATCAAGACACAGCACTAGGCAGGCTTACCTTGGCTCAAGTACCAGATCAATAGGGCTACTTAAGAGGTGAAGGGTAATTAAGAAATGTGTGGGACACAGCCTCATTGGGATGGGGGGGGGGGGTCTCCCGCTCTTAAGTACTGTAAATGAACCCTGAAAGCGCGCCGTGTGACGCTACTGCGGGCGGGTTGGCGCTGTCTGCTACACCCTGAGGAAGTCCCCACAAGGTCTAACTTCAATTGCGTCGTCACTTTCTCAGTTTTGTCACTGCGGAAGGCCACAGAATCGGAACGGAGTGCGGAGGACGAGCTTGTGGCGTAGAAGCGATTCCTTCGAGCATCAGTTAGAGAGGACTGTGTGGGGGTGAAGTACTCTGTGAAATACTCTGTGAAGTACTCTGTCTTCCAGAGTGTGGCATGGAGAATCTGGCAAAAAGTGCAGGTGAGAGCTACACATCTGGACTGGTACTGGTTTACTTACAGAACTGGGAAATGGGTGCGTCCATCTGGGGTGCCGCCCCTCCCTTGGCGTTGAGCTTCTGCACCTGGGTGGGTGGGACAGGCTTGTGGGATTGCCCGGTGGCCCGATACATAGCCTGAACCCACAGGATGCGATCTTGCTCGTCGTCGCTGGCAAAGATCACAGTGTCTCCCTCCTTCACTGCGTTGAAGAAAGCCCTCCCACCATCCAGGCCTGCAGAAGGGTAAAGTATGGGCCGTTTCAGAGAGCCATGTGGCTCAAGAGCTCAGAGGTCAGTGCTGGCATGCTGAACATTCATCACTGTATGACTAGTGGTAATATACTGAACCTGGGTAATATGGCTGACATGTTAAATGGTCGTGTCTGTCTTTTAGACCAAAAACCAGATGTCTTCACCACTGTCTCTGCTCGATTTTCCTTCAGCTCACAAAACACAGACTCAGACGCTGAGCTCCGAGCCCAAGTCCCACCGCACCCTAAATTCGTTTGCTTTTGTCATGTGCTTTCGCTTCCATTCCTCCCTCATATGCCCGCGTCTCTTACAGTGTGAAGCAAAAAAATTATCTCCACGCATTCGTACATTTAAGGGCACAAACGTAAAGGCTGACTTTCAGGCAGGAATGGGGGGGGGGGGGTTTCTGAGAGCCTACCTGGCTGGGGGTCGGTGTAGTCCACCGTGTAGCCGTCCAGCTGGAGCAGCTCCTGAGGCTCCGCCTTCTTCTCCCGGTAGCTGCACATGGCAAAGGTGTACTGGCTCACCTGGCGAGAGGGAGACAGGCTAAAATCAGATACCGGCTTAGACCTTAGGCGGAGAGGAGAGGCGAGGCGAGGAGAGGCGAGGAGAGGCGAGGAGAGGCGATGAGAGGCGAGGAGAGGAGAGGAGAGGAGAGGAAAGAAAAGGAGAGGAAAGGAGAGGAGAGGCGATGAGAGGAGAGGAAAGGAAAGATGAGGAGAGGTGATAAGAGGAGAGGCGAGGAGAGGAGAGAAGAGGAAAGAAAAGGAGAGGAAAGGAGAGGCGAGGAGAGGAGATGAGAGGAGAGGCGATGAGAGGAGAGAAGAGGAAAGAAAAGGAGAGGAAAGGAGAGGAGAGGCGATGAGAGGAGAGGAAAGGAGAGGCGAGGAGAGGCGATGAGAGGAGAGGCGAGGAGAGGAGAGGTGAGGAGAGGAAAGGAGAGGAAAGGAGAGGCGATGAGAGGAAAGCAGAGGAGAGGAGAGGAGAGGCGAGGAGAGGAAAGTAGAGGAGAGGAGAGGAGAGGCGATGAGAGGAAAGGAGAGGAGAGGATAGCCCAAAACCAGCTCACACGTGTCATATGAAATGCTTATATTCCATGGTGTTATGTCTTTATCTTTGCCTTAATGGTGAATTTATTCTTAACCAATAAAAGAAACATGGAAGGAGACAGAGAGTCGGCTTTGTTTTTTTAAATACTTTCAAACAAAGCTATTTTCAGCTATTTCAAACAGGAAGCAAGCTTGTCACTGAGTCTTTTATGGGAGTGTGTGAGTGTGTGTGTGTGTGTGTGTGTGTGTGTGAGTGTGTGTGTGTGTGTGTGCATAGCCATCCATTCCCTTGTCCTATTGAGGATCCCAGGGTGTATCTCAGAGGCTACAGGCACAAGCGACAGAACAACCCAGGATGGCACACCAACCCATCGAGGGCACAATGACACTCACACTCACACACACAAACACACACACAACATTCACACCTACAGGCAAATTATTAACTCTGCTTAACCTCAGGACGTTTTTGGACCATGGGGGGAACCCTGAGTATCCGATGGAATCCCCATGACATCACGGAGAGAACATGCAAGGTGGCAGTGTTTGGCAACAGCGCTACCCAGTGCGCCACGAGGTTTGCATGACGTGTGACGTTAATATCGACATGGCATTCCATGCGCATGCCATTGTAACAACGCTGGGATTTTAACTGGTGGGTAACTAAGCAACTGTTAGTCGGGAGTGAAGGGAGCCAAGATGTTGTTGGGCTTGATGCGAGAATCCGCCAGGCACCAGCAGGGGGCGATCAGCACCACGCTGACCGACAGTAACTGTAGCCTCCTTACTGTCGGCCACAAGGAGTGCCAACAGGACATGGTTGGCAACTAGCAATTTCACCAACCGGGGGTGATGAAGCCTTCCCCTGCATGCAGACTGGATGTGAAGGCGGAGAATGCAGAGAATGCTCCTACGGAACCCCCATTATATATCTGTACCCTTTTTTTTGTAATAAACTTCCCCCAAGAGGTATAGTATTCATCTTCCATAAAATAAAATGAATTTTAAATATGCTTTTGTGTCCGTTAGTTTTTTTTACCTGCACTAAGACGAAGTACCTCTTTTTCCATCGCTTCCATACATTTTTCCCAAATGCCCACAGGTACCTGCAAAAATGAAATTTTATTAATGCAAAAACAAAATTAAATAGCTAAAATTTCTCAACACAGTATGATACAAATGAAAGCAATTTTGCTTTAAGAATTGGATCCTGTACAAATGCAAAAGCAAACAGGTGCACAATTATTGTGCTTCTAACAAGCAATACATTTGCTAATTGGCAGTAAAATGATAAAAAATGTAAAGCTCCTGCACACAATGAAAAATAACACCATGCTTATATTATATTATAACATGTTCACTCTATATATATAGACTGGAACTTGTTTTTTCCCGCAGCCAAAATGAAATCTTCACTGTACTGTGATCTTATTGGCGTAAACAGCTTTTCTTTCTTTTGCATTCCACTGCTGAATTATACTGGATTTATTCCATCTGGCTGCATAAACTATACCACACGCTGACATCCCTGTTCCGGTGGACGGTTCTGCGATATCACTGTATCACTCAGGTCTCCTGGAGATGTTTCTGCGAAAAACCGCCCCTAGGACGTCCAGGCAACACCGGCCGTGAGAAAGCGCCGATGCCGAACAGCGACAACGGTGCTGCTCCACGGGGCAAAAGATCGCTGCCGTCTTACCCACAATGCTTCATGTTCTGAGGCTTGTCCATGCGGATGGCCAGCTTGATCTTCAGGTCGTGGTCAGGGCACGCCTTCGTCAGGCTCATTTTATGTAGCTCGGACTGCTTGGGACTGTTGGGCGTTGGGTGCAGGACAACCTGTGGGGATTATACAAATAACAGCATAAAAATAATAATAATAATAACAATAATAATAATAGTAGACAGAGGTGTAACGCTACTGTTTGCCCACGGTTCGGTATCTGTATCCGTATATTAAGAAAACACATCACCCTTAAATTAAAAAAATGAACTCTTTATGTTTCCAACTGACCATATATTTAGCTTGGTAGCAATATGTTTACTTAACCGATAGGCGTGTAACAGTACACGGTATATTGCTGAACCGTACGCCCCCAACGGTTCGATACTCACATGTGAACCATGGTACAGCAGTACCTTGGTTCTCGAACTTAATCCGTTCCGGACTCCGGATCAAATCCTAAAAAGTTTGAGTTCTGATCAAATTTTTCCCATAAGAAATAATGGAAAACCAATTAATTGGTTCCCGGCCCCCCAAAATTACACCTAAATATGTTTTTTTTTTTTTTTTTTAGTATTTAAACACAAAATGAACTGGATAAAACAAGAAGAGCATTTTTTTCTTAATGGCTTCCAAAACGATAAAGATCTTATCCCAACATTACCCCTGTCCTGCCCCGATCGTCCGCTCCTTCCGTGTGCCATGCCCCCTCGTTAACCTCGTGTGGGATCCCCATGTGATTGGCTGTTTCTGGTTGTTGTCATTAGTCCTCTGTATTAAGTCCGCGTTTCAGTTTGTTTCCCCAGTCCGGTCATTGGGTGCGTTCGACTTACAGCGCTGGCTTAAAGCAACGCATTCTGATCCTGACGCAATGCATTACGGTTAGATGCATTGCGACCTCTCACCCGGCTGCACAAACAGGAACTGCCTCCGTGACAACACACCTTTGCCCTTATTGGCTGAAGAGTTTAGTTACATGCATGACATTTGTATCCCAGACAGTTCTGATGCGTAATCTGCGTAAAGCAGTGAGAACTGGTTTTCAGTTAATTTACCTGGTAAAAAAGTTTAAATAAATGACATAAATGCTCTAATAGTACACGTAAGTCAGTGGTTTATTTATTGTTAGTTACTGTAATGTTGCGCTGCTTTATTTGGTTAATCGTCCAGTCTGTGAAAAAGCCATTCAAGTAAGAATTGCATTGTAGTATGACTCATTTCCTGGCACGTACAATTTATATTAGGTCAGCGTTCACGGTTCGACTTCTGATATTCAGATCGAGTTCTAGGTCAAACTGGTTTGTTCGACTTTCAAGAAATTCGAGTTCTAGTGAGTTCGAGAACCGAGGTACCACTGTATTATGATATGCTCCTGTACATAGTGGTAGGAATATCAGATGACGTTTTTTTAACCCAAAAAATACATCTGAAAAACTGGGGTCATCTTATTTTTGAGGGCTAGAATTTATTGTAGTCATGATACAACACCAGGTGGCATACCGAATGATTCGGTAATATATCGTGTACCGTTACATCCATAGTAGTTGATATTTAGTTTGTAATAAAACAGCAAAGAGTAAATTTATTCTGATTAAGATAGTGTTGATATTTTCTGTTTACGTCAGGGTTTCTACACGAACACAGTTAAATGTCACTTGAAATAGCTGCCCTAGGCAGACAGCACACCGGTCTTCTCTGCTGATGCCAGCACTAATCTTCTCCTCCTGCCTTTTCTCCCCCAACATGAAAGCGATCAGAAGCTGTATCTGGGTGGATGGGGTAAAGGGGAACCGCTCTCATTTCAAGACCTGTCCTAATCTGCCGTGAAAGCGTGCCAACGAACTGGGCCGGCGAGGAATCTGCCTCCACAGAAGCAGGAGATCCGGTCAAGGTCAGCAGAACAAGGTGACGTTTAATAGCTCCACCGCATGCAGGGAAGCTTCTGCCAAGGCTGTCAGTCTGGGCCAGTCGTAGCGGGGGGGGGACAGGAAATACTGAAGCTGCAGTATCCTGTCCCCTACACGCCAAAAGGCTGAGCTCTCAAATACGTCACTTAACTTCTACATTTTCTATTTAAAAACACATTTCTTCTATATATATAAATGCACTATTACCCCCAAAGAGATAAAACGCTTGCAGGCTCTCCAGTCACAATGCTGTGGAAGTGAAAGATCCATTTCCACTATACACCACCCCATAATAATAAGTCTCCAATACCCCTATTTGTTGCAAAGAAGACACTGACCTGTAAGATTATAGTGAATTTACTGCCACGTTTATGTTTCTTATGTACAAAACTTTCCAGGTGTTTTTTCAATTGCTTCTCAGCATTTCAAAAAGCGAGTCAGGAAATCGTTTTTGCTAAGACTTTTTTTGTGGTTGTAACATACATAAGGCATAATGAGGCAGGCTGCCCTGGGTCCCGTCCGGCGGAGGTCAGCTGATATTACGCGGCGTGTAAAAGCGACGGCTCACCCTCCCCAGCTCCTTGTCCTCCAGGGCCAGCACGCCTGTGCTCTCTGTGAAGAGCTTCACCTTGACCCCAGGAAGTGGGTGTGTTGTGGTGAAGTCCCCTTGAGTGCCCCAGCTGGAAGATGGAAGCATTGCACGGTTACACGAAGCAGCCTTCTGCTCTGTACCCGTCGCCTGATTCAAGGCCGCTGTGACGCTCTCACCTACGGTGCACCTGAGGGACAAACTGACTGATGTCAAGCCATGTCAAATTGAGTTTTTCCACAAAGGGCGACCCCAAAAGTCATGCTGTGGCTGCCCGAAGATGGAGTCAGGGCCATTTAAAGAACTCATCCACTCATACGAGTCTTACAGCAGGCAAACTGTGTCCAATATGATATAAAAAAAACAAGCCAGAAATAGCAGCTAGACCCTGTGAGAAGAAAGGAGTATTAAATGCTTGGTCCTTTACCAGAGCCCCTGCGGCAAGAACATCTCAAGTTATTAGAAGAGAGGAAGCGATGCAGAGTGATGCTGAGGTCTCAGCGTCACTGCCGGGCGGCGGGGGACATGGCGGGGGGGGGGAGCATCTCTAGCAATAAGAACACAGAGGGCAACACAGACACATGCATGCTGCAGCAGATACGCACACCGGCCTCCAGAAAAGCTACTTATCGTACTGCTACGGACTCTGATCGCCTTACTAATTTCAGCCTGATACAGGGTCAATCAGCTCCCCCACCCTCATGCTCCCCCTATAGGTACTATCTTAACAAGTGTAGGTACTATCTTTACAAGTCACTGGTACATCGTCCAGATCGTACACCAACCGTGTGAACTGTGCCTGAGGCCCTGGGACCCTGACTAGCGGTAAAGGATGAATGGATGGATGGATGGATGGATGGATGGACATGGGTAGAAAGTATCCGCCTCCCCAGGAGAGGAGTCTGCTGAGGAATCAGGCAGTGTCTCACAGCGCCGTTGTATCTGTGATCGGAAAGGTGCCACTGAGAGCCTTGGCAGAATAGTCACATGTTTGTGGGCCCCCCAGGGAAGCTGCACGCTGGCTGACCCTGGTCAGTGACCCCCCAAGCTTGCTCTCACCTATATGTGTGTGTCATGGGGAGCAAGATGGGGGAGGCGAAAAGAGAATTTCCTCACAGAGATAAATAGGCCATCTGTGTGTTCTATTCAGTCACAGCATCAGTAGTGTTTATCAGCTCCCCCCCCACACACACACAGAAATCACATTTTCAGAGATGTTATGTAGATAAATTTAAGAAGCAGTCTGGGACTTTCCCACCCCAGAAGTGTTAAAAAGGGGGGGGGGGCTGCAGTGCTGAGAAAAAAATCCGTCAGCAGCAGACGTGTCAGAGAAGCAGCTCTGTTCATCTTTCCAGCTCCTATGTGACAGAACAGGGCAGCAGAGCTCCACCCGCAAACCCCCACGCCATGACAGAGCTCCGCCCCCAAACCCCCACACCATGACAGAGCTCCACCCCCAAACCCCCACGCCATGACAGAGCTCCACCCCCAAACCCCCACGCCATGACAGAGCTCCACCCCCAAACCCCCACTCCATGATAGAGCTGGATAGCTACCAAAATTCTAANCCCCACGCCATGACAGAGCTCCACCCCCAAACCCCCACGCCATGATAGAGCTGGATAGCTACCAAAATTCTAACTTCAATACCAGCTTTGGTAGCTTGATATTGATTCTGTACTGATATTGAGCCGATACTGTAAAACTTTGCCATTAAATTTCATATTGGTTTGAAATAAACAGGCCAATTAAAGTAAACAGACACCAATAACATATAATATAGTTGTAACATTATCCATGAAATATGCATAAATTAATTAAACTCCATTCAATACACAGATTCTGATATTAATTTGGTCTCTGCTGTTACAAAACATTATCGATAATACACTAAGGCTAGTTTTATACTTGTTCTGTGTTTGTTCTGTTCATTTAGCCTAGCGTACTTTTCGTCCCTGGGGAAAGGGAAATGAATGAACCCACATGTAGGCTGAACCAAACTTAATAACCGCGAAATTACATTTTGCATAAATATTACTATCGTGTGTCTTATATCTGTTATCACGCATACCTGACAATCATTACACTCCTCATATAAATAAGGGTGAGCGAGAGATGTGTTGTTGCGACAGAGTTTGCATACTGGGGCTGTTTGGGCTGCATGTTCACCCTCTTCGTCCTGTTTCCAAGCAAAATATCATATTTCTCACTTCTGCCATCCTGCTTATCAGCTAGAGGCAGGGACTGGGCAACAGTGCTTTCCATCTTCCATCTATGTAGCTTCTCCGTGCAAGAGACATGTGAAATGAGTGTGACTGTGTCTCTCGCCAGCACTGTGGTGCAGTGGTTGGTACAGTGGGTGGTGCAGTGGTTAGCACTGTTGCCTCACACCTCTGGGACCTGGGATCAGGTCTCTGCTAAGGGGTATGGAGTTTGCATGTTCTCCCCCTGCAACCCTGAATAGAACAAGCAGTTTCCCAAAGTCCAGATTCAGTACATCCACTTTTTAAATATCTAGATCATGGGTCACCAACCTTTTTGAAACTGAGAGCTACTTCACAGGTACTGAGCCATACGAAGGGCTATCAGTTTGAAACGCCCTCCTAAACTTATCTAAACTTCATGTATAATAAACATGTTTTAAATGTTTTTTTTTAGATATTGTCATTTTCAAATCTATGTAAATGCAAATGTGATTAAAGAAGAATAGCAACAGGATAAAATTAAATTTTATCATTTTAGACGCTGCTCACTGGTGAGTTGTGCTATTTTTAGAACAGGTCCGTTGTTGACTCATGTGGTCCTTGGGGGCTTCCTGATGCCTGCGGGCACCATGTTGGTAACCCCTGATCTAAACTTTGAAAATGACAGAATTGTACCGTTTAATTTTTTTGGTATTGCAATACAATACTGATATCACCATATTGCTTAACACTGATTACAATAGTTATTACATTCACTGTGGCTGGGATAATTGTCAGTTTAAACGGACATGGATCGAAAAGTAACCAGCAGGAAGTTAAACATGTTCATGAAATACAATAAACAGTAAACTCACCCCCCATTTGTATTATACACTGATAGAATAATACACTCCCAGTGGCCACATTATTAAGCAGTCGATGTGTCACCAGATACAACAGCCAGACCCGTTAAAGCTGTAGAAAAGCCACAAATGCAAAATTAACAGCTCAGTAAAACATTAGTATTTCTGTTTCCATAACCACTTCAGGGATTGATGAGTTGTGTGTTCAGAAAAGCCTTTCTGCACACTACAGTTTTACTGAGCTGTTAATGTTGTATTCGTGGCTTTTCTGAAGCCTTAACGAGTCTGGCCATTCTCATCTGACCCGTCTCATTAGCATGATGTTCCTGACAACACGCTGCTGCTGACTGGATGCTTTCTGGTTATAACTCCATCCTCTGTAAACTCCAGATACCGCAGTAAATGGAAGCTCCAGGAGATTAGCTGCATCTGAGGGGAAACACCTCTGGCACCAATAACGGAATTTAAAATCACATATCACACATTTTAGCTATTCTAATGCTTAACTAAACCTCTTGATGCCGTCTATGTGCTGTACCTATTCAATAGCAGCCATATGATTAGCTGTTTCAAGGAATAGGCTAATGAGCAAATGTACTTAATGAATACTGAGTTTACATGATTTTTCGGTGAAGCGAGTGCTCAACTTTCTCCTATATAAATCTTTTCAATCTTGTTTACAATCTGGTTTTTCCAAGCAAGGTAACCTTAAACCCGAGCTATGCATTTATTTATTTAGCCAAAGATTTATCCTTGGCAACATACAATGGAGAAACCCAGGTCAGACAGTCCCAGGAGCAGTTTTGGGGTTAAGGGCCTTGCTCAAGGGCCCAACGGTGAATCAGCTCTGGCAACCGCACAAATTGAAATGGAGACCTTCTGATCACAGGCACAGCATACTAACCCACTGAGATATATCTGTCTGAAAGCTTGATCTTTGGTTTCTCAAGGATTTCTTGGCCTTCAGAAAATTCCATATTCAAATTTCTGAATGAGATATACCACTGCCTGTGGTCAACTTTGGAGCAGAACTTCCAGTTCTCTCAAGTCACATGAATTCTTTAGCGATGGGTCCAGCTTGACATTGAGCACTGTCCTCTAATACCTGTACATCAATCAGTCACCTTACAAACCTCAGAATAACCATTAACTCAAAAATTACATGGTAAAAAAGAACCTGACCTATCAATATTTTTCACGCTTCTTCTATGACAGGCAATTCTGCATTAAAAAATATCAGTTTAGAAGACTGTATTTCCAATATCATAAGAGCAGTTTGTGATTGGGAGCTGTTTTGTTTCGGTTCTCGTTCCTCCCCTCATTTCCCCCATAACCCCGAGGTGACTGCTCACATCTAGAGGGATTTTTCTGATCATTGAGCTTTGGAGTTTCTTGACAGGTCGTCATTGGAGGACCCTGCTGGGTTTCGCTCTCTAGCCGGCGGTCTGACTACACAGGCTCACTGCGATGCGAAGCAGTCATCGATTTTCTGCGCCGCGTGCGCTCTAGCGCATGCTGAACTGATGGCGCACGCCACGGGGCCGCACAATGGGGACGGCGTTCTTTTACCGTTCGCTGCTGAAGTGGTTTGGGGGAACGGCTATGGTTCATCTGTCCCAACAATTGAAAAATGTTAATTAATATTCTTGCCCCAAAACTGCACCATTTGAAATCTTCATTCATGTGTCATGTTGTATTTATCAAATTAAGCACGTAAATCTGTCTAGATGCTTTCTGATTTGAATCCTATGCATGACCCAGTAACTATACTGCTGTTGGCCCTTGAGTAAAGCCCTTAACCTCAAAAACCTTCTGCAAGGATAAACAGCTGATTCTGCACTCTGATCCCAGGACTCACTCTCTGCTGCATATGTATGTCTGATAAGTTGAAATATGCAAAAACCAAAAAAAATTCTATGCATCTTATTCTTATGTACCTGTACTGGTACAAATGACAGATAAAAGTTATCATTATTATTACCAATTACATCCTCTCAAACAAGAAAACAGCCGAAAAAGTTGGGTTAATGCAGGAAGCATTGAAT